GCAATTTCGCAATGTATTATTCACATACTCAGGCCCGTGCTAAGCTGCCAAAGAAACGGCGGCGCGTTATACCGTTGGAACAGGTGCGACTGCAGACAAAGAGATTGACCACATTTGAGGGTGCAGGTGGAGTTTCCGCAAATCGCAGGTACGCGATCAGTCGGCCGGCCGCACGCGAAAAGCAGTCCATGTACAGCCTAGGTAACGACCCTCGCGGTCAGAACATGATCTTGTAAACGCTGTAAACGTCGTTGCCTTTATCACAGCACGTGTTTCAGACCGGCCAGAAGAGAATGCACCGATCTTGGCCGACACTCACAGAGGCCTGAAATCGTCTAGCATAGCGAACGCGCTTTCAGAGACCAAAGTGTAAATCGTTTCCGGTGGGTCTTCGACACCGCCGTTTGTGGCCTTAACGTGCCGCCACACATATACAGATGGCTAGTGACCATTCAACAGCGACAAAGCTTCGACAGTTCGTTGTCAACTTTTACACGCTCTCGCCGCTTACTGTTGTTTGGTTCCATTCCATCGGTTCATTCGTCAATTACTTGCGGCACCCACCACTGCTCAGTTGAGCCTAAACGACGCAGCAAACATAACTGCTGGTATTGGCTACTGTATCCTTGCTGTAACTGCTGCAAGGCAATTCAGAATTTCATGGGAACGGCTTCGACACTTTTCGACGAAACTCGACGACATGTTAGAACGGAGTCGATGAAGCCGAAAGCCGGTGCCGTTTTTGAAATGCTGACAGATTTAATTGTCTTAGTCGTAATTCTAGTGTCTCTATTTGTTTATGTTGTAAAATCCTTGCCAATGCTAAATTATTTCTTAGTTGTACTTAACTTTCTCATTAACAAGTTGATACAGTAAAACTGTTTCCTCATCACTTGTTAGCTTCATTTCCTTTCCGGCATCAATTCCAACTGAAACTGGGCTAATTGGTTCGTTTTAAAATATGGAAGAAGGAACTTTGACCATCTTTAATTTTTGGAAACCATTTACAAAGCGGCGGCAAGGAAACGATCCGAAGATAATGTGCGTTGTTGGTTGCGCTTGGATCGGGAGAATTTTTATGCATCGGTAATATGCTCTCGTCACGTCACATTGTACAATCACCAATCAAGCTAGCGAATTTTTTCAGCAGTTATCACGTCGTTGAATTCCTCTCGGCTTATTGTTTGTGACTGCTTTTTCATCAGATTTAATGCCTATTTCTCAAATAGCCTTTATGTCTGATGGCTTATTCCATTCCTGCTACCTCCAAACTCCCCTTATGGCGTACAATTTGACCTAGACGAAAAAAACCCAACTGAAGAACACTACGAATGGTATTATTATGTCATACACTACCATGGCAATAAAGCATACTATTGAACATGAATGTCGGCTAAAGATGCAACAGCAGACTAGTCATTAATTGAAAAACAAGGCTGTCTAGAAGAATAATATTAACACAAATCAACATCGAAGGATTCAAATTAACTTCAGTATTTATTCTAAAAAATACATTATGTATTTGAGTTCTGTAGTCTGATTTTTGAACAAATTACGTTATTCAACTGAATAAGAAGTTGCGAGTATGAAGCTGTTCATCGTATTACAAGAAAACTTTATTTGCAGGATAGAGACAATGGTATATATGGCGAATATGCAAATACCTTATACCTCTAAGGCAAATGAGGGCAATGCGCGAAAGTCAAAACAAATTTTCAGCGAATAACAAAGTAACACGTCAAGCCTTAGCCAATCTCAAATGCCTGTATGCAAATCGTTAAACAAATTTCATCTCATCACTAACGCTCCATTTGAATGCCACTGCTACGGCTTCTGACCAGTCGACATTTCCAAGCCTGTTATTCCTCGCGGTAAGTAGACTATATTCTCACGTATTTGGGATTGTCTCATCATTTTTCTATTGTTTTCAACCATTCTCTAGGTTGGATGTCTTTCCTTCCTCCATCTTGTTAGGCATTTCTGACAGTCTGCTTGCTCCCAATAAGTTCATTCTGGCCTTGCCTGATCTTATTCGCATTCTCTTCACGTTGCTAGTTGATTTTGCAATCAGTTGATACCTTGAAACACCGATCGGGAAGCGAAGATCATGAACCATTCTGATTAGAAGGCCTAGGTGCCGGGTTCGATTCCACTCGATGGCACTCTTGTCTTATTTAGAATTCCGTTGTGCAAGGAATCTACCACACTTCAGGTCGGAGATGCTCATGCAGCAGTGCCTCGTTCTCAGAACCGAGAGGTACCGGGTTAAAGCCCCGATATGAGTCACTAGTCTTTCTTTCTTGCGAGGTTGATAAATCAGTACCGCTCTGTGGGAAGAAAACAGGAGACTACTCAATATGCCTACCACAATGGTGCTGCTGACTTTGCCTTTAAATGAACAGCACTGCTGAGTGATGGCATTGGAACAGAGTCAGCGCTCAAACAATTAACTTCATGAAAGAAAGGGAGCTAGAATGAGGCTATCATGAAAGTATAAGAGCGACATTCCATAGGTTACAAATTTTCCTTTTCTTCATTGTGTCTGCTCTGGTCTGGTTTGTTCTCTGCGGAAATTTTAAGTACATCGAATTTTCATTAAATGAATATCCTCAGTTGAAATTTTGTCTTTCAACTATAATTAAGATAGCATTCTTAATATCCACAGTGAAAAAGTCAGTAAGAGTCGGCTGCATATAAGCAGAAGCAGTCGGGCGTGCCTCCGAAAACAGCCGGTCAGCCGGTCAACAAGGACACCGAGCACGTTCATGAAACAACCGGAAGTGCTCACCCGTGCAGAGAAGAAGGATCAAGGCACCGACAGCAAGAAGATCGGATGTACTCACTGACCGCACCTTGCACCGGAAGTGTTGTGCAGACCGCTGGTTAACGCGGATTGGTGCTCGCATATGAACACTGGGTTCGCGCGTTTCATCGGAGTTAAAAGCTATTCGATAGAGCCTTCATGTACTGCCGCTGGTTTTCCGCAACGAAATCACAGCTGTGATGGCTTAAGTCCGTCTTGCGAACATTTTCAAGAAGGAAAGCGAAGCAACTACTGCTTGATCAACCAATATGATGAAGACCCCGGGGTTGAGAAGAATGAATTAATTACTAAACATCATCATCATCACCATCTTCCATCGCCCATTCTCCTCTCGGATCGCGGAGGCAGACACGTCAGACAGAGCTTCCAACGTCATTTGCACCAGGTTAATCTTGGCCGTCCCCTGGGCCTTTAGCCGGTCGGATTTGCAAGGAACAGTTGCTTAGCCTTCCTTTCTTGAGGCATTCGCAACACATGCCCAAGCCATCGCAGCTGTGATTTCTCAATCTGGAGAAGCAAAGGCACTACACCAGGGCCCTTCCGGATGTCAGTGTTCCGGACCATGCCGAGACGCGTCAGGTCAGCGACTCGTCTAAGAAAGCCCATTTCAGCAGCTTGTACTCGGGTTCAAAGTTTTTCACTGATGGTCCACGATTCATGACCGTAGATAAGTATGGGGATAAAGATCGGTTTGAATATTGAGAGCTTAGTTTTCAGACTGAGCTCTGCTTTAGTCACAGTGGGTCGGGCTAGTTCATGCAGAACGCCACTGGCTACTCCAATTCGCCGGTCGATCTCTTGCTCCAATTTTTCATTACTAGTAAATACAGTTCCGTGAACTTCTCCACCTGCTCCACTGCCTTTCCGTTAATCTGAAGAGAGCAACGGGCAGGAGAACGAGAAAG